AATTAAGCTAGAAATCAGTAACAGAAAGGGAATTGGGGAAAATTATAAATACTTGGAGACTAGACCCCACATGTCTAAATAACATGGGTCAAAAGAAGAAATCTTAAAAGAAAGGAAAAAGTATTTTGAACTAAACTAACTAAATGAAAACATATATTAGAAAATAAGAAGATCTAAAAATCAATAATTTGAGTTTCCACCTTAGGAAAGTAGAAATAGAAGAGCAAATTATATCCCAAATAAACAGAAGAAAATAACCAAGAATTAGTATATAAATCATGAGATTGAAAACAGGAAATCAATGGACAAAAATCAATAAAACTAAAACTGGTTCTTAGAAAAGATCAATGAAATTGATGAATCACTAGCCTACCTAAGCAAAAAAGAAAGAGGACAAAGATTATTAATATCATAAATGAAAAAGGAAATCACTACAGTCCCCATGGGCTTTAAAAGGCTAATGAAGGAATATTCTGACTCACATTATGCCCACAAATTTAATAGCCTACATTAAATGGACCAATTCCACGAAAGACACAATCCACCAAAACTCACACAAGAAGAAATAAACAGTCTGAATTGGTCTATATCTATTAAAGAAATTGAATCAATAATTAATAACTTCCAAAACAGAAGGAGCCAGAAATCTAACCCAAGAATTATTTAAGGAAATTGTACTAATCCTCTACAACCTCTTTAAGAGGACAGAAGCAGAAAGGATACTTTTTAACACTTTTTATGAGGCCAGCATTACCCCAACACCAAAACCAAACTGATATTACAAGAAAACTCTAGATCAATATCATGAATAACAAAGCAAAAATCCTCAGAAAAATATTAGTAAATCAAATCCAACAATGTGTAGAAATAATTATATCCCATGACTATATCTTATTTATTCCAGGTATGCAAGATTGGTTCAACATTAAAAAAATTAATTAATGTAACCCATCACATCAACCAGTTAAAAACACACAATCTTACCATAAATACAAAATAGCAATTTGACAAAATCCAATGCTCATTCAAGATAAAAATTCTCAGTAATGTAGGACTAATAAGGGAACTTCCTCAACTTAATAAAAAACAAAAATTCTAAAAATCCCTACAGCTAACATCATGCTTAATATTGAGAAAATAAAAACATTCCCATTAATATCAGGAACAAGAGAAATATGTCTCTTCTTATTACTTCTTGAAAACATAATGCTGGAAGTTCTAGCTAATTCAATAAGACAAGAAAAGGAAATAAAAGATAAACGTCTTGAGAATATAAATAAATAAAATTGCCTTTGTTTGCAGAGGGCATGATTGTTTATGATAAAATATGAAAGAATCAACAACAACAAAAAACCCTTCTAGAACTAGTAAGTAAAATAGCAAGGTTACAATATATAAAATATATAAATATATGTACAAGATATATTCAAAAATATTATACGAAAGTACATCATTTTCCAATACAGCAATAGGGAACAAGTGAAATTTGAAATTAAAATATAGTACTATTGGGCCTCCCTGGTGGCGCAGCGGGATGAGCACAGCAGCGCTGTGAAGCTGCCCGCACGCAGCCTCTGTAGTGCGCATTCGATTCCCGGCAGGCCAGGGAGAAACCCACAGGGCGCAGCAGACCTCTCCTGTCTCACCCGCTGCTCCCCTCAGCGGTGTCTTCCCTCCGTCTGCCTGTTCTGCTCCCCGCTCTGTCTCTGGTGAATCCTCTCACCCTCCCGTTCCTCTGGCCTGTATACCAGCGCTTGTATAAATAAATCTTAAAAAAATAAGATAAAATAAAATAAGATATAGTACTATTTACATTAGCACTCTCTAAAAATGAAATGCTCAGGTATAAGTAACAAAGTATATACATGGACTGTATAAAAAACTATAAAAGATCTGTTAAACAAACACAAAGAGCTAAGTAATGCCAATATTAATTCTTTTCAACTTGATCTATAAATAAAAACTCAATCAAAATTCTAGTAACTTTTTGGATATCAAAAAATTCATTCCAAAATTTTTAAGGAAAGACCCACAATTGACAACACAATAATGAAAGAGAAGAATAAATTTGGAAGACTGACACTACCTGACTTCAAAACCTGCTATAAAGCCATAGTAATCAAGAAAGCGTGGTACTAGTGAAAAGATTGGACAAGTAGCTCAATGGAACAGAGCGAAACAATAAACAAACATAGTCAACTGGTCTTGCGCCAAGGAGCAAAGGTAATACAATGGAAATAAGCTCAGTCTTTTCAACAAATGACGTAGAACAACTGGACATCCATGTGCAAAAGTATTAATCTAGACACAAACCTCATACTCTTCACAGAACTCAATTCAAAATGTGCCACAGACCTAAATGTAAAATGTGTAATTTATAAAACTCCTCAAAAATAACAGGAAAAAGCTAGATAATCTCAGGTGTGGTGGTAACCTTTTAGATGCAACACCAAATGTACAATCAGTGAAAGAAATAATCAATGAGCTGGATCTCATTGACAACTTCTGCCTGTGAAAGACAATGGCAAGAGAGTGTGGAGACAGACGATGGACTGGGAGGGGATATTTGCAGCAGACACAACTGACAAAGGGCTCTTATCTAAAATATACAAAGCACACTTAAAAATAAATTTTCAAAACTCTGATTTAAAAAATGAGCCAGTGACCTTAACAATTTACCAAAGAAGATAAACAGATGGGAAATAAGCATATGGAAACACACTCCACATTATGGCATCAGGAAAATTAAAACAATAATGAGGTACCACTACACACCTATTAGAATGGCAAAATCTGGGACACTGACAACAGCAAATGTGGGTGATAATGTAAAGCAAGATCAAATAAATAAAACGTGTGACTATTGAACAGAGAGATAGTGTTTGTGGACAATATGATCACTTGTCTTGAAAATTCAAAGGAATGAGCCTGTGAACTGTTGGAGTGGATGAAGCTTCAGCCAGTGTCTGGAGGTCACTACAGTGAAATAAAGGACTTCGCCACACACAATCAGTAATGAGTCAGAGCAAGTAGCAGAAAATACACCATTCACAACAGCAACAAAATCCAAAAATTACCTAAGAGCACAAATATACAAGATTATATAATTATATACAGTATACATATGATCCATGACACATACATGACTACATATTTTGCATATCTGTACAAATATAGCAAGGATGCATGTAAATAATTCTATAAGTATGCCTGTATATTATGTTGTACATGTTGCAGGAGTTGACCAGTAGATTTGGATAAAAGAAATGCCAAACAAAAGCAGGATAGCAGCAGCACATCATGTTCATCGATGGGGACCAGACCCTTGTGAACATGTCAATTCTGCTTAAATGGTTTACAGATGTAGTCCCTTTCCTGTCACTGTCACATGACAATCAAGCTCAGGCTACTAACTTCAGATACCTGAACAACCTGGAAAACTGTAGATGAAGTAGGGCAAAACCAATATCAACATCAAATATAAACAACAAAACAGCAAATACTGCGGAGGCTGAAGACTGGTGGGCTGATGGCTGCGTGTGGGGTGGAGGAGCATGGAGCAGCAGGGAATGTGGGGAGAAGCTGGAGTCTGCACAGGTGCAGATGATTATGGGGAGGGTTAACGTCTCTGCTGGTCCAGGGCACAGATCTCAGATCACACGACCAGTGGCTCTGGGGCACTGTCAGGACGGCAGGAAAAATGGCATTGATCCAGGCGACTGCAATCTCAGCGAGAGCCTGCGAAACAACTTAGCCAGTGAGTTGTTTAAATAGACCGTGAGAAGAACCTGGAAATAGGGTAACGAGCGGCACATAGATAGTGAGGGTGGGTGTTCTTTTTTTTTTTTTTAAAGATTGATTCATTTATACGAGAACTGGGGTACAGGCCAGGGGTGTGGGGGGTGAAAGGAGGCTTCACCAGAGAGAGAGTGGGGAACAGAACAGGCAGACCGACTGAAATACTCTGCTGAGGGGAGCAGCGGGCGAGACAGGAGAGGTCTGCGCACCATGTGGGTTGCTCCAAGGCGGGCAGGGATCGAACCTGCACTGCAGAGGCTGCAGACAGCTTCACAGTGCTGTGCCCAACCGCCTGTGCCACCAGGGAGGCCCTGTTCTTTCATGCAGAGTACGGAGCTGTGCATTCAGACCCACACTAGGGGGAGAGGTGGAAGCAGCTCCCACGATGGAGGCTGCACAGCGACCCTCACGGCCCCCCACAGCGCCACCCTGAGTCCCCTCGAGGCGCAGCTTCCCCCACCCCGTGGCTCAGCTGTTCAGCCACTATCACTGTGAGGCCATCAGGCGTCCAAAGTCCGGGCGTCTGCTGCTGAGGAGCCCCGGGGTGGGGGCTCCTGCTCTGACGGCGCCCACCGTCCCGGCAGCCCCACCCGCGCCGTCCTGGGAGCAGCCTCTGCGGGGGCGAGGGAGTGAGGACTGGGGCTGCCGCCGCCCAGGGGACCCACAGAACCCAGCTGCGCCCCATAACGGCTCTGAGGGGCCGGGGCGAGTGGTCTGAGGGATCACCCCCACCTGCTCAGAGGACTCGGGAGTCGGTCCTGGTCTGAGGGGCACCAGGGCCTGCCCCTGCCTGAGTGAAGGTGAGAAATAGAACAGGGTGGAGAGACCCCTCACAGGATCCATCTCTGGCCCTCATGACAGCCCGGGCTGGGGGGGGGGGCGGGGGGAGCCCAGAGACACTGGGCGGATGTGACGTCAAACGACTCTGCTAGGAGGCGTGAGGTGAGCGCCTCATTTCCCCCCACCCTTTCAGGGAACTTGGGAAGTGGGAGACTTGGTGAGGGGAGCAGGCTCAGATGACAGAGGACAGGCCCCACTCTGCCTGAATCAAGGTGAGGACCACGAGGGTTAGAGACAACCCTATAGGAGCCATCTCAGCCCCTCATGGCAGCCCTGGAGGGGGGAGGGGGGAGAGAGGTGCTGGGTGGATGTGACGTCCACCCACTTCCGCTCGGAGGTCTTGTCTGAGTTTAGGGCCTTGCTCTGAGGGGCGCGCACTCAGGTCGGCAGAGGGAGAACCCAGCCCTGCCTGAGTCAAGGTGAGGACCCTGAAGGAGGGCTGAGAGGTCACACAGATCCCCTTCTCAATGAAATACCTGAGGGACCCGGGCAGGGTAGTCAGGGTGATCACCCCTCCACACACACTTCCTCAGGGAATTCTGGGAGTCAGAGCCTTGGTGAGAGGCACACGCTCGGGGAACAGAGGGCAGCCCAGGCCCTGCCAGAGTCAAGGTAAAGAATAGACCAGGGACAGAGTGACCCCCATGGGATCCTCTCCATTTCTCATGACAGCCTGGGGGAGGGGGGCCAGAAGTGCTGAGCGGATGTGACGTTCTCCAACTTCCGCTAGGAGGTCTGAGGTGAGGGACTTGCTCTGAGGGACGCACACTGAAGTGGGGGATGGAGGGTGCAAGGCCTGCCACACTTGACAAAGTAAGGACCCAGAGGGAAGAACTGAGGAGACACTAGACCCCAGAACAAAAGACACACCCAGCCACATTTACTGCCCAATGTCGCTGGAAATCGTAATTCGAGGTTTCAATCTGGGAGGTCTGAAAAAGAAGCGGCTTGGAGAGAAGGGTGCATCTTCAGGTCCCCAGAAGCAAGTAGGTCCAGTTCCTGCCAAGAGTCAAGTGGGGAGCCTGAGTGAGGACTCAGACCCTGAACCCCAGAAGAGACAGGAACCCACAGAAACAGGACCCCACAGAATCCGGACCCTGCTGTTAATCCTGGGAGGCCTTAGGGTGGGATGACCACAGGGCGTCCTGACTTTTGCATGCAGGTCTGAGTGAGACTGGGGAATTGGTATAAGGAACAGGGAGGGCCTCAGACCAGTAGAGGGAGGGCTGGTCCTGTCAGAGGTCAAGGTGAAGACTCTGTGGAAGAATTGAGGGACCCTAGAACCGAGAGCCCACACAAAAGATCTGGGGGGGTGGTCACGTGGCATCCTGACTTCTGCATCCAGGTCTGAGAGAAACTAGGACTCAATATTAGGAACAGAGCCTTAGGTCCACTGAGGGGAAGCACAGACTTCTAGAGTCAAGGTGAGGGTTGGGGGGAATATTGAGGGACTCTGTACCCTAGAACTGAAGAGACCCCACAAAAGACCCTCCCTGCTGTCAGACCTGGGGCAGGGGTTGCCACATGGTGTTCTGACTTCTGCATCTGGGTCTGAGAGAGACTGGCACTTGATGTAAGGATCAGGGCCTCAGGTCCACAGAGGGAGGAACGGGTCCTGCGGAGATTCAAAGTGAAAACACAGGAGGACAGCTGAGGGACCTTAGACCTAAAGAAAGGGGGACCTCACAGAAGCAATCTCCTGTCAGTTCTGGAATGCATCCTCCCCGCTATGACCACACAGCAACCTGACTTCTGAAAACAGGTCTGAGAGAGACGGGGGACTTGGTATAAGGATCGGGACCTCAGGGTCAGCAGGGGAGAGCCCATGTCCGGCTGGGAGTCAAGGAGAGGATCCTTGAGGGAGGGCTGAGGGGACCCCAATACCAGAGCAGGGGGGACCCCATAGAAACTGGTCCCTGCTGTTATCCCTGGGGGAGCCCCTGGATGGGGTGATCACAGGTGGCATTTCTTGACATCATCTGGATCTCAGATTAGAGGATTCCAGATCCGAGGTCAGGAGGCAAGGGATTTGGTCTGAGGGTCTGGACTCAGGTCAGCCCTGGCAGGACTCCAGGTGAGGCCCCAGCACTCTCCCCATTTGGGATCCTGAAGGCCCAGGTCAGGTGTGGCCAGATGTGGGGCCCTCGTTGCTTCTGTTCCACCTCAGGAGTGTAGTCCTGTTCTGAGGGTTTCACGTCAGGCCCATAGAGGGGTGGCAGGGGTAAAATGAGGATCCTGAGTGAGTACAAATGGAACCTGTGACCCCAGAACAGAGGGGACCCCACAGTTCCTAATCCCACCCCACAATCAGCCCAGAACTTCAGGCTTTGGTACCTGTGTCCTGAGCAGCCGTCTCACTTCCTCCTTCAGGTTCTTGGGGGCATCACCCAGGAAGACGGAGCGTGTGAGGCCCAAGTGTTTCCTTACACAGGAACCCGTAAGTCGTCTTTGTCAGGGGTGCCAAGGGGGAGTTTCTCAGTTGAAGCTACTCACACTCCCTCTCTCTCCCAGGCCCCTGGGTCCCATCAGCCACCTCCTGTCCACACTCCTGACAACTGCCGAGCAGGAGTCATCATGCCTCTGAGTTACGCGAGTGAGGGCTGCAAATTTGAGGAAGACCTTCAGGACCCAAGAGAGGCCCACCACCTGGAACCTGGGCAGCTGGTTAGGGCTGAGGAGGAGGGGGAGGAAGACGCCCCATTTCCCTCATGCTTCTCTTCCTCCACCTTTCCCCTCACCTGTATTGTGTTCCAGGATGCCTCAGAGGAGGAGGCTGCTGCTGGGAGCCAGAGTTCTCCCAGTGCCTGCTCCTCCCCCAGAGCCCTGGATGCTGCTCCTTGGAGCCAATCTGAGGAGGAGAGCACCAGCAGCCAGGAAGAGGAGGGGCCACACACCTCGCAGGAGCCAGCAGAAGCTCAGGCCCCCCCACAAGAAACCCTGCAAGAGAAGGTGGCTGACCTGGTGTACTTCCTGCTCCACAAGTATCGCGCCAAGATGCTGACCAGCCAGGCCGAGATCCTGAGGGAAGTCCTCGATGATAACCTGGAGCACTTCCCTGTGGCCTTCCGCCGGGCCTGCGAGTGCCTGCAGCTGGTCTTTGGCCTTGAGGTGCAGGAAGCAGAGCCTAATGGCGACTCCTATGTCCTGGTCACCACCCTGGGCCTCACCTATGATGGGCTGATGAGGCCTGAGGAGATCATGCCCAAGACGGGCCTGCTGGTGATCGTCCTGGCCGTCATCCTCCTGAATGGCGACCGCTCCCCCGAGGAGCGCATGTGGGAAGCTCTGGGGGCGGTAGGGGTGTTTGCTGGGTTGGAGCACATCATCTACGGGGAGCCTAGAGCGCTTCTCACCGAGGTGTGGGTGCAGGAGCAGTACCTGGAGTACCAGCAGGTGCCCCATAGTGATCCCCCCCGCTACGAGTTCCTGTGGGGCCCCAGGGCTTATGCTGAGACCAACAAGGTAGACGTCCTGGAGTATTTTATCAGGGTGAATAGCAGGAATTCCAGAAGCTTCTGAGCTCTCTCTGCAGAGGCTGTGAGTGATGAGGAAGAGAAGGCCTGAGCCAGAGTGGCAGAGGGCATCTCTGGGTTCCTTCTCTCTGCGGTGACTTGGAATTGATTCTCGTTTCCCTTAGGAATTTTTTAACTGTTATCCCTTCAATAGAAAGTTTATTAGCTTCAGCTGTGCTTGCGGATGCATCCGTCACATTGGTACATTGTGCTCATCCAGTTCAAGAGTGAGTTTTGCTGTTTTGTAAACCTTCCATCTTACTTGTGCCCAGAGTTCTGTAATATAGCATTGGAATAGGCATTTCCTTGGAAATGTGACAGAACTTAGCAGGAAAATTTATGGAGTCAAGAAATAGAGAAATAAATGTGAAGAGTTCTTGCTTATCCTTTCTCATCTGTCATTCTATAAAAGAGAGAGAGAGAGAGAGAGAGAGAGAGAGAGAGAGAGAGAGAGAGAGAGAGTGTGTGTGTGTGTGTGTTGCCCATCACCTGCAGGATTCTGAAGAAATAGGGTCTCACTCCCTTAAAATGATAACCAAAACTCAGTGGTTTGGCACTCTTTTCTGGCCTAGAAGGGCCAGAACCCATCACATTTAAATAAAATTATAAGGTTATCTTGGCAGTAATTTGGACAATTCTGAATTCGTGGCAAGCCCATGCTGTCCCCACCTGCCCCACCTGAGGCCAACCTTCTGGCTCATACCTCATTTCCCTTCACACTACTCCACAGTGTCTCTCAGGTGATGAAGGGGATCCTATTGCCAAGCTCCTCCACACAGGGCTATAGAAGGACCGTGGCGATGCAAATCCAGCTGATGTGTTTCTGTCTGTGGCATCATTCAGCGAGGACCCTCCTGCCCAAGTCCCAGGGCCCTTTGAGAACCGACTCCGCCAGGGGCCAGCATTTCTGCCAGTCCCAGAACTTTCCCAAATTCTATCACCCTTCCACTATTTCCCTGTGCGCCCTCCTGTCCAACTCAGTAATTTCACCTGCTGACCAGCTCCTCACCGCTACTCCCCTTAAGTCTCCGCCTGCTCTAGTGGGACAGCTCAGATTGCCTGCCGTCCCCCAACACAGAGCATTCCTGCTACCTGCAGAACCCCCCCCCCGCACCCCCACCACTGTCTGGGACACCTCTGATAGCAAAAGCTCCTCCAAATCTAAAGTGACCTTTAGGTAGCTGGTCATCCTGCTAGGTGTCTGCAACACACTCTCAAGATATTTTCCGGATTAACTGATGAGTAGAGTCTGATTTGGCCCATACAGTTCTTTGGATATAGCCCTGAAGCTAGAGCAGAGGTTTTAAAAACCTCCCTAATATTTGCAGTATGATTTCACCAGAGAGTCTTATTTGAAACTGGCCACTAGACACAGATGGCTGAGCTTACCTAGGCAGTCAGAAATTCTTGTCAGTTTCATTGAGAACTCATCTACTTCTGAGTCTCTCATCCCAAATACCAGAGGGATGAGATCTTGAAGGTACCACAAACATGAGCCAGCCCCAGCCCAACTCATCCTCACCAACATCTGCGCACCTCTCAGGCCCTCCCCAACCCTGCTCACTCAGCAACTGCAAAACAGAGCTGATTATAGATGGAGGTCCTCAAAAGCTAAAAAATAAAATCAAACCACAGCACCACCCGAGAAGTAAAATAGTTCACCCCCTAGGTTACTGCTACAGACATTAAAATAATAATAACAACAGGAAGCATCAAATAGCAGAAGGAACAAAAAGACCTGGCAACACGAGGAGACCTCACAAAGTGAGAACAACAACCCAAAATCCAAACACAACACCCAGTGGCCACAGCACAGATCAGACCCTGCCTCCTCTTCACCCATGTCTGACAAACCCAATATGGCTGAGATTGAGAAATAAGTTGAAATTAAAGAAGACAGAAACACAGGAGAAAAATCCACAGCTTCAAAAGAAATGATTGAACAGGAGAAGCAAGCAGGTGAATTGTACTCTGCATTGCACAAGCATTGCCTCCTTACATTATTCTTTTAGTTGTTTAACTTTGTAAGATGCAAAGAGGTTGGGTGAAGTTTAAATGACTGTGCTGCCCCTTTCACATCAAAGAATCGAGAACAACTAATGAAGGTGCCCCTGCCTCTCCCATCTGCCTGTCAGGTTGGCGGAGGAGGGAAAGAACTTGCACACTGCTGAAGGAAGTAGCTGGGTGGAATGACAGTGAAATCCAGAGTAGAAACCCAGCTGGCCTAAGGTGTCCTGTGGCTGTAATATGCAGTTTAATCAGAGTACCATTTTTGTTGTTCAAATGATTTTAATTATTGGAAGGCACAATTTTTAATATGTGAATAAAAAATATTAAAACCTGAAAAAAAATCTCAACACAAAAATGTGGAAGATTATATCTCCCTACCAGATAGAGAGTTCAGAACTGCTGTAATAAAGAAAAATTCAAAGAGATAAAAGAAGACTCAGGAAGGCAGGTCAAATTAATAAAAGGAAACACAGAAAGGCAAGTCTAAGAAATACAAGAGAACTCAGAAGAGCTAATAAAAGAGACACAATGAAATTTAGAAAAACTTCAATGAGCTCAGAAATAAAATCAATGAACAGAAGGTAGAAATTGAAACTTTAAATAAATAACAGAAATTCAGGAGTTAAAGAGTTCAAGAAATGAGATCAAGAAAGCTATAGAAGTAGGATAGACCAAATGAAGGATTGAATCAATGACACCAAATATGCACTAAGAATCCAGCTGGGAAAAAAAAGAGAGAAATGAGATGTGAAAAAAAGAAAAATGAAGAGGCAATTTGAGACCCATCCAATACCACATAGAGAACCAACATACGAGTACCGGGTATCCCAAAAGAGGAAGGGGGAGGTAGCAGAATGCTTATTCAAGGAAATAATAGAGGTAAACTTCCCACACCTGGAGAAGGAATTAAAACGATAAGCCCATGAAGCTAAAAGAACACCGGTTACCTAAATGCAGTGAGACATACACCAAGACACAGAGCAAGAGTTTATGACAAAGAAAGCACACAGACTGCAGCAAAGAAGAAAAAGCAGCAGGGATCTTCTAAAGACACGCCCATTAGGCTTACATTAAACTTTTCATCAGAAACTCTACAGAGAAAGAGAGAATGGAAAGATCTATTCAAAGTGCCCATAGATAAAACTGTCACCCAAGAATACTACATTCTGCAAGATTCTTTCAGATACAAGGGAGAAGTAAAGACCTTTCCAGAGAAACAAATCTGAAGGAATGTGCCAATGCTAGACCTCCCGTGCAAGGAATGTTGAAAGGATCGCTTTCATCTAAAGCAAAGTGTAGAAAATCTACCAAAACATGAATAAGGAAATAGAACCAGAAAGCTAGGACAAAATGGCAGTGACACATCATACATCAATAATCACCCTCAGTAGAAATGGACTGAGCTCACTACACAAAAGGCACAGAGTGACTGTTGGACCAGAAAACGAAACCCAGCTTTCTGCTCTCTCCAGGAGACCCACCTGAGCTTGCAAGAATGCAAATAGGCTCCAAGTAAATGGTTGGGAAACAAACCCGCAAACAAATGGGACCCCAAAAGAGCATGAACACATATAGCAGATAAAATTTCAGCGGAAAGAGAGAGACAATGAGTGACAGGGACATTCGCTCGCAACTGCGGCATCAGCACATCAGGAAGCAAAACCCTCAGCAATGCATATGCACCGAGCGGAACACACGAGACAACTATTAACAAACCTGAAAACAGACACTGGCCACAACAATAGTAGTAGGGGCCTTCAGCACCCAAGGACATCAATGGACGCAACAACCAGGCAGAAAACCAACGATGAAACAATAACCTTAAATGAGGAATTAGACCAGATGGGCCGACTAGACATCTATAAGTTGCTACACCCTAAGTGCACATTCTTCTCAAGTGTACAAGGAACAATCATAAACAACATTACAAAACAAGTGTCAATAAATTCATAAAGACTGAAATCCTATTATGAGGGCCCCACCTTCATGAGCTCGTCTAAACCTAATTTCTTCCCAAAAGCTTCATTTCCAAACACATCACATGTGGGGTTGGCATTTCAACATTTGGATCTGGGAGTGGGTGGTACAATTCAGTCCCTAGCATCTTCCCTACAAATGGTATGTGGGAAAACCATCAAAATATCTGTGGAGCTACTCAATCTACTAAAGGTGAATTCCAGAAATGCTAGAATACGCCTGGGAGGTAGAAATACTAGTTTTGATTAAGAAGTCACACCCGTGTGCGCCTGCCCCACGGGGAAGTCCTGCTTTCCCTGCAGCTCGTGGTGCCTGTGCAGGAGTTCAGGCACGCAGGTAGCAGAGACTCATGAGATTTGGAACTTGCATCGAAAGGAAGGAAAATTTTCTCAATCCATGGAGGTTTTAGAGTTTAGTACAAAAGGAAGCGCAGGAAAATGACTTTGAGTAAGAGCAACACTGCTCTGCTGAGACTAAGAGATCCCTTGGAAACTGCATGCGGTCCTGTGTTAGAAAGTCACACAGCAGACATTTTTCAAAGCTGGGGAATTTCAAGGCAAATCTGGCCTTCCCAGGCTCTCCTGCAGGCCGTGGAGAGGGGTGTCCTCATAACCTCATCTGTGAACTGGGGTTACATGGGGACTTGGAGTCGCCAAAAGGTAGACCTGCTCGCACAATCACGCTGCCGATGGGTATAGATGATATTTAATTAGACGGTGTGGGTTCAGTAAATACAAATGTCAGTTGTTTATGAAAGGTTTCTAATACTCCCAAAAGTCCACAATTTACATGAATGTCATCCTCAACCGATTACGCTACAACTGGCTTTTTAAAAACCATTTTAGGAGAGCTTCCCTGGTGGTGCAGCGGTTGAGCGCTGGGCTGCGAAGCTGCCCGCAGCCTCTGCAGCGCCAGTTCAATCCCCGGCCGCCGGAGAGGGTCCCACATGGCGCACAGACCTCTCCTGCCACGCCCGCTGCTCCCCTCAGTGCTGCACCTCCCCCTGCAGTGACCGTCAGGGCTAATGGCTGTTGCCATGGTCCCTGAGGTCCGGCGTGGGCAAGGAACCATGCGCGCAGGGGGAGAACAGCAAACTCCCTAAGATGCAGAGAAGCCGAATGCCTGCCAAGAGATGACGACCACCAGAAGCCGCCACAAAGATGGTTAAAAGAAATGCTGACCACCTGGAACCTTATCTCGCTTTCTCAAGGCCCACAAACTTTATTCTGCTACAACTGTCTCTCTAAAATCTTTCCTTTTTCTGGTCATTGATTGCTAATTAAAAGACATACGAAATTTAATAATTAGGCTAATGCAAATGAAACATTACTAAACACTGTGTTATAATAGAATTGTTGGTTTAATAATCTTTCTGTTATGTG